GGAGTAAGTACAAAAGTATAAATTTAATACCCTTCCACTTCAATTGGTGTCCGCGGAATGGACTGTGTAGGGGATCTCGGATCCATCGCCAAAACATGACGAGAAGCAGGTGGAGTTTTGTTCCTGTCAGAGTAGACTTCTCCATTGGAAGTGTTCTTTTCATCCCATATAGTTTTTTGAAAATGTTCTAATGCCTGGCCCATAAAAGTGATAAAATTTGTTTCTCTAAAAAACATAGATATGGCAAGGAAATCAGCAACAAAAATGTTTTTAAAAAGTGAAGAAATGCAAAACTGTTCAGTACATTGAAAAAATTATGTGTAAAACTGGCGAAACTTGCTACGCAAAGACTCAACAAGTGGCATTATGTACATATCCACAATTCCATTAACGTTAAAGGATGCGAAAATTGAAAACCAGTATTAGTAATGCACAAGTTGATTAGTTAACCAACAAAACAGCCTTATTACAAATTTAACTCCCTGCTTTTCTCTCTCGGCTTCGTCCATCCGAACATCACTTACAACGCCCTTTACTCGACTTGGCTAAAAGTGTTCCTGCAGTCGATTTAATTCGAACAAAGGAGCAACCTGTGCTATTGAGGAAAACAACGGACAACTTTGGAGGCACCAACAAAGCATGGTAAACGAAAAACTTAACAGCTAACAACAGAGCAAAAGTAACATCCAAGCACCAACTATCTATGCATAAGTATGAGCAACGACTGTGAAGCCATTTGCCTTACGGGTATAGTTTCATATTTGAAATTCAAATAATGCCGCCAAAAATTTTTTAAAACCACCTAATGCTCTCTATAACTTTATCTACTGTTGCATGTGATATACCAAACGATTGGCGCTGGCAGAGTTTGACTGGATTGGGTTTAATGTTGGCAGTATCGAGGTGTAGCGGCAGATCTGTTTGCTCCTCCATTTGTTAATTACTTTCCCAGTATCATTTGAATTCAGAAATTGTTAAACCGCCATACTAGCCGTAGTAGTAAAATACAAAAATGCTCACATAATACTTTTATCAGAAAGTAGCTTATACTTTGTCTAATGGTGAGCTATAGGAGACATAAGAAGCATTACCTTAAAATATCGACTTGTCTAGAGTGTGCTTTACAAATGTCGGGACTTTTATTGACTTTTAAAGGTAGTTATTTGTTGTTTATTGAGTGTCACTCGTGCATGCCTCTCATGCGTTAACAGTTTTTAAACTTTCGTTGTAACTCTCTAATTCCTCCAGTAAAATTGCATGTTTCCCTTAGCCCTATAACAGTTGAAATTGTTCACCTCTAAACATTTTTTTGCTTGTCCACCTCAACTCATCTTTTGGATGTGGGGCTTTCGACAACGCTTAATTCATTCGCGACAGTTTCAGACTTACCTGTCTGGTTCTTGCCAACTCGCTAGCTGTCTAATGCTAAAATTTTCTGTAACTCTTCTGTTGCTGCATTGCCGCACTGTCGAGTCTTCTGGTGGTGTAATGGTTAGCGCAGGCACTTTGGTCCTCAATTCGAGGAAGCTAGGAAAGCTCCAGACTCATATCCCGTGCAATTCTCTTACTCACAGTTACCGGACTTCTTGGCCATTTTTTGATTTGCCAAAAATACCTGTTCAATCACGGCGTTTTAGTCGTGTACATGGAACTCGACAAATGGCAATAAATTAGTTTATTTTACAGGAAAGTCTGCTTTCATCGTCTTACGAACCTCTTTAGCTCGCTTCCTAGTTTGAAGAATTAAGATATTGAAAAAACAGCCTTGAGAAAAGCTTTCAACAGAAATGGAAAGCAACAAAATTAGAGTTCTACATTAGCTTTTTGTTCTATTTCTTTCACAACTGTAATCAAATGGGTATCTTTGAGCACACCAGAAACCGGTCGAGAAGTGTGATAATCATGAGTAAAGAAATTGCACGGGACGTGGGTTTGAGTCTAGGACTGCGAAATCCATGCTTCAAGTATTACGCCACCATCTGACGTGGAAGCAGCGTTACGAAGTGGCAGAAATATTACAGTGACATTTTAGCATTAGACCGCAAAAAAGTTGGCAGTAACTAATCGGGCAAGTCTGCAGTTTTCACAGGTGAATTAGGAAAAGCCAAAAACCCAGCATACAAAAAATGAAAGGTTGACAATCAAAGAAAGCATTTTTGGAGTTTTGAATTTTTAACTGCAATAGGCCAGCGCCTCTATCTGAGAACTCTGGAAAAGACTTTCTGAAACTGTTTTTCGAATATTTAATTGTGCTTAAAGTTGATAATTTTTATGGTATCGGAAAATTATTTACAATTTAGAAAGCTTTTAGGAGAAGGGAAAAATAATTTTTTAGAGACGTTATTTTGATGAAACAAGTACAAATATTGTAAATATTAGAGATACTGGCTCTACTGAGGCATCTTGATACTATTCGTCTTGCGTAATTCTCGGATTGGTGTTCGGGCTGGTGAAAGAAACAATTGTTACTTGGAGTTTTTTAGTTCAATACACCATGGATGTAGTGATATAGCTGTGTAAGAGTGCATGAACGGTTACAACTTAGCCAAGAATGGCTAATTTTTTATCTCAGGGATCCTGCACCCGTGCCAAATATCGGCTTAGATTTAACGCGAGAAACTTCTCTACTGATCTGTACGTTCGAGTGATAGGCTGCTAGTAAGAGAGACTGGCAGATTTGGTGGATTTGTACGGAGTTTCTCTGTAAGAATATCTCTTAGCAACTGTTGATACGCGAAGCTGTTCCTAAAATTTGCACTCAGTCTCGAATTCACATGACGTTTCTGTTCTGCTCGGTCTATAACAAGCAGCATGGAATTGTGTGATTACTGCGGATCTCCTTGATTTAGGAGTTTATGACTAATTTAAGAAGCATTCCTGAGAATTCCAGAATTTTGACGATTCTAATAAGAGAAGTATGCTGTGTATAAAACCAACAAGTTTCTTTATTCACACTCAGCCTTTTCAACCACTTGATTCCTAGAGGTGTAAACCTACTTACCTATGACTCGTATTGTGACAGTATTACGGAATTATTGAATGATTTTAAACTGCAAAAATGAATGAAGCTATTGAACAATTACCAACAAATTTTTGAAATTGAGCATACTGTGCTCAAATGAGGTCAGTGTGAGATCAGTGATGCACATGTGGTTCAAGATAGAAGTAAAATCAAAGTTCTATTTGACGCTTCATAAAACAGCCAGTTTTGTGGGCGAAGGAAGAGTGTAACTCGGAAAATTTCATTTCAGTGTTTTAAAGATTAGTAGAGAAAGAGGGCCGTAAGCTCTTTGAATTGTATTCGTGAAAGAGACCTCTAAGTTCCGTTAAACTTATTTATTAGTTACTTTTCAGAATTCTAGTTATACAAGCAAATGCAAGCTCAATCCATCCTTCTTCTTTCAAAATCATGTGCTGTAATACTCTGAATTCAGAAGGCTTTAACAACTCTGGAGAGGCTGAGCCCAGCGGTTAGCTGGCTAAAGAAGTACGCTTTTAGACTCATTTGCGACGCCAAAATACGTGTTAAGTACATAAATTGGACAGAAAGGAGGAGTGAAGGAGATTGGAGTGAGGAGAGCTTTTTAAAGCTCTGTACAACAATGAAATGCTAATATTTTAGAGTATAATATGATTTTTAACTATATGTTCAAAGAATGAAGCGTTTACCGGAGTTTCTAGCCACGCTTCTTGGCTTTCAGAAGCTGCTCAAGACGGTTGGGCTGCTGTAAAATACGCGGGATTGCAGTAAAAATAGTGGCTTTTTCTTAATCTCATCTTTTC